CAAGGCAAGAGACAATAGATAGATAGACCTATATATATATATTATGTATTGTATGAGTGGGTGAGCTGGGTGCGCTATGAGTGCAATAAAAATATAGTATACTGTAAACAGTTTTTGTTCTGCACATTGAATAAAGAAATTCTCTATACGAGTTCTTTCTATGACATACTATGAAGAACTGTTCTAACAATAATATTATGCAACAGCTGTCAAACAGCTGTCATGCACAATTTTTTAACCACTTTTGTGAAATTGCTTTTGAAATTGCTTTAGACTGTGTAACTGTTTCCCATTGCGGTAACGAAGGATAGTAAATTTTATACAACATTCTCTACCACGTTTTTGCGACCTGTTGTACGTGTATATGTGTGTGTGCGCGCGCGCGTGTATGTGTATGTGTGTGTGTGTATGTGTGTGTGTGTGTGTGTGCGTGTGTGTGTGTGTGTGCGTGTGTTTGTCTGTCTGTGTGTGTACGCGTGTGTGTCTGCATTAGTGGTGTTTGTGGAACGCAGATTATCAGGATGAACAGTTTGTGTGGGAGAAACGGCGGGAGGGTGGGGGGCGTTGGATCATTTTACCGAGTGTGTAGAGATCAAATGGTATAGGACCTTTATGGAAGGTGCAGACAAATGAGTTCTGACACAGACTCTAAAGCGTCATTATAACTAAAAACCTACTGAGGCTGAATAACACTCAATGAAATCCAACATCAACCAGAGTCTGGAATGACAATTGAGCACACGAGTTCAGTACACCACAAAGTCAAGTAATTTAACTATCTCTTGGTCTTCACGTCACCCTCAGTCGGCCAACTATTCTGATGTACCAAGCTCGGAATTGTGAATATTCTAATTAATTGCAATTTTTAATCTGTGACATACAGTGCAGGTTCTCGGGAATTATTTTGGGGAAAAAATCAAATCATAATTGTTGAAAAAAGCAGGAAAATTTTCGAGATAGTTACAATACATTTTTCAGCGAATGAAAGAGATTTTTCGATCTCCTGATTTAAAAAAAAGATTTATGGACTTAGAACTGCTGAACTGCTTGCCATCGACCTACATATTTATTTCTCCTCAGAATCTTGCTATTTTGTATTTGGCACTAGGTTTGGAGCACCTTGCAAACTGGCCATTTTAACCTCTGGTATTTTGTCCTCACTCGGGCCCTCCCCCGCGTCCTTCTTGGAGTCGTCTCCTGCCTCCTCTTTGCCATCCCCGGCGTTCAGAGTGACGCTGTTGTCGTTGTAGTCGTCAAACGCCGGGGTGATGTTGCCTTCCACGTCCTCAGCTTTCATGCTGATTCTTCGCTGATTGCTCTCTGTGAATTTTGGAAAAGGAGCCTTTAACTCTTTATCTCCATTTGGGGGG